TTCAACTCCTAATGTTCTGTGATTCTGTGATCTTTGATCTCATAATATTTTGAAAGCCCTGATAAGAGACTGGAACAGGAGGTTGCAGAGTATGTTGCCAGTATGGTTCCATATTCGCAGTGCTTATAGCAAGAATGATAGGTCCTTCAGAGCCCAAGTTGTCAGTCTCTATTAACTAATGATCAGCCTTTAAAACATTCATAAATTGTTTCAGACTGAAAATGCAAAAGGACTATTTCATTAGTAACAGGAATGTATTCCTCATGAAAATTTTGAATCCTGGAAATTTATGCTCATTAATCCAAGACTCTCCCTTCCTCTATGGTTTTTTTTTTACTTTGCTGGTCAACTTTGCCTCTTATGTGCTCAAATGAAAGGTTTTATTGCTGATTGTTTACACATACACAGTATTTCTCATATCTAAATGTTTATGGACATTCAATGTCATAAAAATTCCTGTACCAAAGGAGTTAAGCTGGTGCTGCCTGAAAATAATAAATGAAGAAAGGGAACACTTTCTCTCTATGCAGAAACTGGTTGCAGAGTAAATGAATTCGATTTTCTGACTCCTGGTTAGACTACTGAAAATTCTTAGAGTCCAAAAAAATACTTGAACGTGTTACTTCCAGTGAGAATTAGAGGCGCAAATACTCTCAGAATCTAGATTCATTATAATTTTCATAGTCAAAAGTAATACTTAAAGCAATCCTTCCTGTTTGGTAGGTGAAGGATATTACAGCTATTTGACCAGTGTCTAAGATACTACAAAGTAGGTAATATAAGACATTTGCATTTCAGTAAAGAACTTTCTAAAGAATTTTCTGCTTCCTACCCAATTTTCTTCCTGAGATTTTTCGAAGAACAGTTTTCCTAGCATGTTTGTTTTCTTTTACAGCTGCTACTGTACTTGAGTGTCTTGATAACTGCAAGCTGTCAGAAAGTAATCAGATGGTTCTTCGCAAGCTAGGAATGAAACTTGTTCAACGACTTGGCCTGACATTTGTGAAACCGAAGGTAGCAAAATGGAGGTTAGTTTAAAGCTGAAACAATTAAAAAATAGATACAATCCAAGAGCACTCAAAAACCTTAACTAAATCCATACATTTCACTACTGGCATTCTGCACTCCTAACCTCCCCTCCCCTAAATGAGAAAGAAGGATGTTCCCATGTTATTTGGGAGTGAACACGTTCTTCGTTTGCACTATTTGGAAAAAGTAGATTTCTTCCGCTGTATTTAGTTTTCTGTAATTTTTTTCAATTTGGTGATCTAGTGTTGTGACAAGCCAAATCTTTTGATTTTTTTATGTTGCGCGTTGCACAGGCAGAAGCCTGTTCCTGTGTGATACATAACTTGGTAACGAGGGGAAGACTGTGACCTTTGTTACTGCAGTTGATTTAGTACAGTTTTGTAAGAGTGAACATAACTTCTTCCATTACACAGTTCTACCCTGATTCGATAGAAAGTTCACAGGGGAAAAGTGGTTTACAATCCCACTTTCGTTTTGCATATTAGTCAGGTTTTGGTGTCTGGTTTTACTTACTGCCAGAGGGCAAACTCTTTTTCAGATTTCTCGCACTGATATTTTAAAATTGCATGCTGCCTTGGTGACTATTTTTATTGTATTTCTTTACCAACTTTTGAGAACGTCCTTAGGCATAGAAAATTCTTTTTAGGTGGAAAGTGTACCTTGCCCAATGGCAAAAGTCAGTTTAGCATGTAAAGTGTATCTTTTGTAAGAATGTATCTACACCACAGGCTAAATATCTGAGTACAGCTTGGGCAGAAGGTACTAAGCTAGCTTTAACATTTCAAAAACAATTTTAATAAGTTGATTTTTTAAATCTTTTCAATTTTTTTTAAGTTTTGAAGAGGCTTTTAGGGCATGGGAATTTTGTCTCTCTGTCAGCGGTAGAAAGTAGCTTGTACTGAAACAGGAAAGGGAGAGGTAATGAAAAGGAACCATTTAAATAGTCTAGCTCCTCTCACCTTGGAAAAGAGACAACTGGGTCAGGAGGCAGGAGAATGGGATACTTTTCCCTTTCCTTTAGAGCAATCACTAAATAACTGGAGAGCTGTACATTGAGAGATGTAGTAACTTGGCAAGCAGGCTTTATGACAGGGTGTACCTATTTCAGTTGAAACTCAAATCAGAAAAATAAGTTAACTGTCTGTTTCTTGTGCAGATACCAGCGTGGCTGTCGATCTCTGGCTGCCAATCTGCTAACTCAGAGTTCAGTTGTGCAGAATCAAATGATATCAGTTGCTGCTAATGAAGCTGAAGATGAAGAGGAATATGACATTCCAGGAGAGATTGAAAATGTTGTAGGTGTGTTAAAACTGGACAGAAATTATTGTAATGCCTGCAAATTAAACACACATTGGAAAACAACCTGCTTAGCGCTAAGAAAGTCATGCCGGTATCTGTGCTAATGTGAACAATTGGAAAGACTATAAAACTTCAGTCTATGCAACTGATTAAAATATACTATGTTTTTCTCAGATTATTTGGATTTCAGCATCTCAAACAGAAACTCAATACTGTAGCATTTGTTGTGGGGTTGGGGAATGGAGTTACTGAAATACATTTTACCAGTTTTACCCAGTAATAATGAGAGAGATATCTTGAACCTTTCACAGATTGAAGGATGAATTAAAATTCATAATGAAAAACAAAACAAAAAATTGTGTTACATGAAAGCTAAAGAATCATGGTTGAAATTTTTAGACTGTGGTAGTACGAGAGGAACAGCATTTTTTTGTTACAATGCAGTCATACAGCAGGTCTTCTAGCTTGCTGGTGGATATGCTGTAAATAAATAGGCAAAAATTGCATCAGAAGACTTTTATAACTGAATAATGTAATGAACCACTGAAGAAAGCACCATGACCTCCATTCTGAGTCTTCCACAGTACTTAAAATTTCAGACCAAATTTTCTCTTTTAAAAATGTTTTGACCTCTTTTTTGATTTCAAGTTGTACTTGCATGACAAACAGGAAAAATCTGGATACAAATATTTTATTTAAACTAAGAGGTAGTTATCTTTAAGAGAAAAAATAATTTTGAACGTTTTACAAAGTCTTTCTGTTGTTAAATGAGAATAATCTGTTTTGTTTAAATAAAATTATCTGCAGAGCAATTGTTGGTTGGACTGAAAGACAAAGACACTATTGTCAGGTGGTCTGCAGCAAAAGGGTAGGTTTCTTATGGTTACTCTAATAAACTAATTAAACAACATAGAAATAGTCTGATGTAATCCATTATTGGTAATTTGTGTGTACTGTCAATATTCACAGTTACTTCAAATGGCTTTAGCACAGCTCATGGTATAAAGCCGTGTTTGTATCTTTTTCTGATATGAAATTGGGCTGGCCTTCAGGAAAATTCCAGATAGGTTTGGAAAGAAATGTTCTGGATAAGACTTGATTTGAAGGGTGTAAAGTAGCATTTCTTCAAAACGTGTTTTTTTCTCTTCCACTTTAAAAAATGTATTTCTGTGTTGAATTTGCTGTGGTGTAGCTTTTGCTTCAAGTTTGAGATTATTGTTTTAAGGTAATGTTATTGGAGTGGTGCATTGTCATTTGAAGTCAGTCATCTTATTGTAAGCTTCCAGTAATTTAATTTTTTATAGAACTTATTCATCAAATGCAGCACTAATGAATCACTGTGTGCTTTTCTTTTTCTTCTTTTAACTGCTGTAGAATTGGTAGAATAACTGGAAGACTTCCAAAAGAATTAGCAGACGATGTGATCGGGTCTCTGTTGGATTGTTTTAGGTAAAAATTTATTTCATGCTTTGTGTGTGTGAAACATATCTGCTTATGAAACAACAATTAGGAAGACAGGTCTAAAAATCTGTAAGTTTTGTTGCTCTTCTCCCAGATCTCAAAATCTCTAAGGCATAGATATGCTAAGGGTGTTCGATAATGAAATTATTCCTAATACTTTGTCTTGACTGCATTTTAAGGTGATGTGGAAGGATTAAAGTTGAACTTTAAAAAAATAAAAGGTGCTCATTAATGTGCTGCTTTGGAAATTCCTGGTGTGCTGATGTCTTGAGTCTTGTGTGCATCTTCAGAAACGTAGTAGAACTGGTAATGCTATTCAGAAGGGTTCACAAGAAATGAAGCAATCTCTGTGTGAGGGGAGGTTAAGACATGTAGGAAGAGTGAGGAATAAATGGGGCTTGGTAAAGGTTTATGAAATCATGAATTGCATGGAAATGATTGCCCTCTAGATTTTATATTATTAGAAGCAAACTCAAGTAGCAGGTGACAGGTTTAGAATAAAGAAAAGGTGGTGTTTATTCATGCAGCACATAGTTAAACTGTAAAAACGTCTTGCTTCAGGATGTTGTGGATGGTAAGAGTATATGCCTGAACAAAAAAGGTTTTTCTCTTCTGCAAACTTGTCCGTGATCTGCCAGGGTTTGGAATTGTTTTGGAGAGTGTTGCAATATGCTTGTTCTTATACTATACCTAAGGCATGGACTGTTGGCCATGTCAGAGAGGCTTTTGGGCTAGCTGAAACTTTGGGTTGATCACATATAGCTGCTAGGATGTTCTTTTGATGTGCTTTATTGTGGGATGTCTTGTTCCTGCATGCACGTAGAGCATGTCAAGGACTAAATTATTAAACAAGTATCATACGCTTTTTTGTATCAAATTGCTCATCAAGTCTACATTGAGGACTTGAATATTAAGATCTAAACTGGTGTTTTAGACTAAGCTAATAACAAAAAGAATTTGCAAAAATACTGATAATGTTCAGTTTGTCACTCAAATGTACTCAGTTTTAAAAAATATTCTCATATTGATTGTGAGTACAAATTAAAAATACCAGCTCAAAGGATAACACGTTAAAAAAAGAAGGTATAGCGTCTTAAAAACTTGCAAGGAAAGTATCTACTCAGCCGATACTTACACTGTGTTACCGTGAGTGATTTAAGACGTGCTGCTGATCTCAATTATCCCTGGAGCTTCAAAGACCTGTACTCACTGTGTTTTCTTTCCTTGTTTTTCAAGTCATAGGGTGAGTAATCCAACTAGTAGCTGAGTGACCTGCTTTCTTCAGAAACACCTGGGAACAAATGTAGACAAGGACAGAAGGAATCTCTTCTGTATACTTTGCACTAAATATCTAGTGACCAAAATAAAAATGAGTCAGTTGGCCATCAGGGGCACTTAAATTTATATCTCTTGGGATAAGAAGAAAGGATTTCTTATATGTAGATAGATTAAAAGATGAGATAGGGAAGAACTAAGTGGTCGTTTTTCCTGATGTAGTGAGATTATCAGCACAGTCCTGCAGGGGCCTGTGTGAACCCTGTGCTGCTCAATATACACATAAAGGATCCTGGAAAAAAGGGGAACAATCGGGTGAGGAAATCACTTGATGATTTAAAGTTAGCTAATGTAGCGAAAACTAAAGGTGGCAGAAAAGAAGATGTTACATAAGCTTAAGTTAAGTAACTGGACAGTAAATGACATAGGAAATGTAATGTCTAATTAATGCAAGTGAATGCACTTCGGGAAAAATGCAACTAGCTATAAAACAGTTATTACTACTCAGGAAAGAGGTCTTGAAGTCACGGGTAGCTCTGTCAGAATGTCAGTAGAGTGCTCAGCAGCTGACAGGAAAAAAAAAAGGCAAACAGAAGGTTACATGTTACTAGGAAAGGAAAACATGACAAAACTGCATCACTGAAAAGTGATTTAATTGATGGGGATTCTTCCAAGAAGAAAGAAAAAATAGAAGGATAAAATGGAGATATATAGAATCATAAATATGAAAGAAAGAGGGAAAGTGAGTGATAGTTTACTATTCACTCTTATAACTGGAGAACTGAGAAGCATCAGGAAATACATTTTCAGGCAATTATAATTATACTGTGGAAGTCATTGCCACAGGATGTTATGGAATCGAGAGGTGTAAAGGGAGTTCAAAACGGGATTACACAAATTAAGAGAAGAGAGTCCCAACAGAGGATATTAAATATGACGTTCTGACTGCAACCTCTGGCTTGGGAAGTCTCCATACTGCTGATTGGCAGAGCTAAGAGGAGGCTGATGAGGGGATGATCCTTTCTGCTTTGTCTTTGGTTAAGCATCTGCTATTGGTCCATGTTGGAGACAGGATACTGGGAGAGATGAAGCTGTGATATGACCTAGTCTGGCTGTTCAAAGTTTTATTCTTACATTCCTGTTCCTAGTTTAATACAAAATGAACTTTTTGGATGTTTAGTCGTGCAGCATGCAGCCTTTCCCTTTGTCACTCCTTTATCTGCCAGTCCACCAAAAATTGTGTACCATTTTTGATATTTATTTTGCTGCTTCATTACAAGTTGCTCTGTTATGTTTTATGGTTTTTTTTTTTAAAGGTGGATAAGCACCACTGTTCACTGTGTAAGTTCGTGTAATGTGTTTAATGGAAACTATTACTTGAACCTGTTTTGCTAGTGGGCTGTGTTTGGCATGAAATTAATTAGTTATTTTGGGTATGTTCTGTAAATCTGCATATTTTGCCAGTGTACTAGAAAGTTTTTTTCCTTTTCTGGATGAGTTTCAGGTATTGTACTCTTCTGTATTGAGGCTACATTTATATTGATAAATGGGTTTTTTGCTTATTTGATCATATTTATAACAGTATTTATGTCACACAAAATGAGAAAGAAAACATGTTCAACTTGTCATTCTTATGAAGTCTAACAGGATTAATGACACAATGCTGGTTTAGAGTGTGTCTTTCCGAATGTCAGGAATTCACCATGAAAAATGAAATCTGAAAAGGGAAAACTGGTCTTAACAAAACTTGTCTTTGCTCTTAAATTAGTTTCCAGGAAACAGACAATGCATGGCATGGTGGATGCCTGGCTCTGGCTGAATTAGGCAGAAGAGGATTGTTGCTCCCTTCCCGAATTTCAGATGGTGAGTTGTAGTAGCTAAATGTTAGTAAGTTCATGAATTAATGATTTATAGCGTTAGAGATTGAATGTGTGGCAGTAGACTGGAATTTGCTGATGTGGATGTGCTGAATAATACCATCATCATTCAGTACTGGAGTTAGTAGGATGTTGAGATTGTGGAGCGTGTTCAGAGAAGAGCCACAAGGATGGTGAGGGCTCTGGAGAACAAGCCTGATGAGGAGCGGCTGAGGGAACTGGGCTTGTTTAGCCTGGAGAAGAGAAGGCTGAGGGGAGCCCTCATCACCACCTACAACTGCCTCAAGGGAGGTTGTAGAGAGGTGGGTGCTGGTCTCTTCTCCCAGGTGATGGGGGACAGAGCAAGGGGAAACGGCACCAAGCTGTGCCAAGGGAGGTTCAGGTCAGAGATAAGGAGGAAGTTCTTTACTGAGAGGGTCGTCAGAGGCTGGAACAGGCTGCCCAGGGAGGTGGTGGAGTCACCATCCCTGGATGTGTTTAAAGAGCGGGTAGACGAGGTACTTAGGGATATGGTTTAGGGAGTGAACAGGAGCGGTTGGACGTGATGATCTCGGAGGTCTTTTCCAACTGAGCGATTCTGTGATTCTGTGATTAGTATTGAATTCTAGAGTGAAAAGTAAGCCTATGGGGATATTTAAGGTACCTCTGTCAAAAGCATTGTCTTGGGTGTGCCTTTTTTGTACTTAATAAATTTTTCTTTCCAAAATGAAATTAGTTTCTTGGGATTTTCTTCTTTCTTCCTCCCTCCTCTGTTTCTTTGTACAGTTGTATAAAAATAATTCTGTATGTCTCTATATTGTGTCAGTGTCATTATTTAAATAGAAGATGTTAAATAATTGATGACTAACTTGCACTTTAAAGCTAGTAGCTTCTGCTGTTTGTTTCTGATTAAATTTAAGAGGCCAATTTTACGTAATTTATACAAAGAGCTCTCTAAGTTTTTAATGGGTTTTTGAAACACCAGACTGGAAAGAAAAATAAGAGGACACAGGAATTGTTCGTGTGTTCCGTATGTATCAACGTACACTGAAGTACAGAGATCAATGTGAAAGTAGTAGTTCTCTGGTGATTTTGGTTAATTTTTTGTAGACCTGAAATGACAAAAGCGTAATGTAGGTACACATCCACTATTGGGCACTTTTACAGCAATACTTTGGGTAGACGGCTCTTTTGATCTCATCTAGTGCTCCTGTGTTGAACAAAGTTGTTGAACACTAATTTTCAAAAATATTTTAAAACTGGTGGTCCACACTAGCAAACTGGGTTGCAAGGTCTTTTCTGTTCTGAAGATCTGTTGACTTGTTCTGGAACAAACTGTTAAACGCTGTATTTTACCGTTCTTTATTCTGTCTGCATGAAAAGAGTTCATGTCCAAGATAGTGTCTGTTTTGTGTGTGAGAATTTTTGTGCAGCTAGCTTTCAGTTAGTTTCCCTTTTAGAATTGCTTTTGCCCTTGTATGATAAAGATAAAACAGTTAAAAAACCCCTGAACTTTACAAACGGGATGTCATCCCAAGGTAAGCCTCTATTTTAGTCCTAACAAAACCGAAACTGTACCCCTCTGTCAAGGAGTTGGGATAGCATCGTGTAATAGATTTATTTTTTTTAATTTTTATTTTTAAATCTAAATTGGAAGTTTCATGCAAGTTTGATATTATGTAGGACTGCAAAAGACGTGAGTGAATCCCAGCTCTTCCAGTGATTCGGCCTGTGCTGTGGAAACATCTCTGTCCACATTTTAGGTTGAGTGTTTGTATATGTAGAATGGGGATGACAGTTGTGTCCTTCACACTCTTCTTTTTCTGCAGAGGTGCAGTGAAAATATATTGCTGCCCGTGGAGGTGGTTTTACTATACCTAGGTTTATATGCAAATTTTGTCAAATTACTTAAGATGTAACCTTCTGTTACTGGAGTGGAAGAAAGTAAAGCTAAGATGGAGAGGGAGGAAGGAAAGGATGGAACACAGTCCTGGCAGCAAGGTCTTTCTGGGAAAGAGATAGGCATAAAGGCCTAAGAAAAAACAATTTCATAGGAACTGTAAGTTTCTTAACAGAACAGTGCTAAGAATTCCAACAACGGTTGGATAAAAAACCTAATCAGAGACTGCCTTGACTAAACTGCAGTTCCTTTGGTTATCTGATACTGAAGAATGAGTTATGCAGAGGGCAGGAGTGTATGATACTGTGAAGGATGAGTATAAGAGGATAGTCTGAATTTGTAGGGATAGAATTTGGAAAGACACTGCCATGAAATAGGATGAAACTAGTGAAGAATGTAACTGGTAATGACAAATCATGTTATATCTGGCTCTGGCTGGGCTGTTAGCTCAAAACACCATAGCACAAGAAATTAGAAAAAAGATTCTGGGAAGTCTGTGTTGTCCTGAATGCAGCTCTGCTTCCTTACTTTGTACTTTAGGTTTATACCTACTGCCAATGTTTAGGCAGGTGAGGATGTCTCTTACCTGAATAATGGATCAATGAGAAATGTATACCCGTAGTTTTAAGTGAATAATACTTAGTCAGTCTTTGTTTTACTTAGGCTGATAATGCACACTGTGCAAACTTATGCACGGTGTTTATATAATGGAATGGCCTTATTTTAGTTAAACTCTTTGTAGAAGTTTGGATAACCTGGACAGCAGCTTTAAGACAGAGGGAATTCTGTGGTTTGTCATATGGAGCTAAAGTATGGATGAATTGATCCGCATAATTAACTTCCTTCACTGAAGAAAGTTCCTTTTTTAGAGTTAGTTGTTATTCCATGCCAAATTCTATTTCTAAATTAAAAATATAGTTAGCAATTTCCCTGATAGTTTCTCTTCAAAAGGTTTGTTACAGATAGTGTTGTGCATGTATTTGTTTTCATTAATGACTTTCCATATGTTTTAAGTACAGGTCACAGATTTATTTGGAAAAATGCAAGTTTATATACACAGTTATAGAAGCAGAAAATAGTATTAGGATGTATGTAGAAACACACTGAAACTGATATTTCAGCGTACATGTATCGCTAACTAAGACCTTCACTGGGACAGTTTGCCTCAGGTGAAATAAATTATATAAATAACCTTTTAGGCTTGGAGTTTGAGAGTTGCCCAGTGTCTGTCTAACCTCAGAGGATTAGGCACCTAAATTGTTTAGATCTTCAAGTTTTCGGTATTGTTTTCATAGTGGTTCAATTAAAGGTGAACATAAACTGCATTTGTTAAACTGGTGCAGGCTTCTTTGGTTTAACTTCAATCTTGTTCTTAGTCGACACAAGAAAAAGCTTGCTTATACAAGGTTTGGATCAGTTTGTTTAAACTGGCATCTGCCTCTAAGGAACAAAATTTGGTCTGTTTTGTATTGTGGCATAATGGCAAAGTGCATTCATACACAAAACAGATTTTACAGTAAATTCTAAATAGCCAGGTTTAATATTAAGCTTATTTAAACTACTGCACAGTGAAATAAAAAGTTTATCAAAGAAATAAGACTTATTAAATGAAATCAAGCCTGAAAAATGCTATGACAGTATTATTGAACAGTATTGTTTCTAGAGCTTAAACATCTTTTCAGAAAAGAAGTTGTAAAAGTTATTTTACATTAATACAATTGCAAAAAACCTTAAAGATTCATCTGATGTACTTTGGCTTTAGTAATGAATGCAAAAATTCACTCATCAAAATTTGAGCTTATACAAGAGAAAGTTCAGTTACTTAAAAATATTAATATAAAATTATGAACATTATTTACATGGGAGAGATTGAGTGTGTCTGTCATGGACCAAACCCAGTGAGAGACGGTTTGTACAGGTTTTATGATGTTGCTGGTAACTAGCTTCTGTGACCAGAAACTCATTGGGAAGTGAAGTATTAAGATACTCTTGTTCTCTTCCTTAAAGTGAAGACTCTGCTACAGTCATTTGGCCTTGCTCTTTTAGTGCCTTGCTGTGATTTTGCTGATTCTTTTTGATTTGTCCTTTTTTGTCCTTTTACTTTTTGATTGCACTGAGTATCCTGAGTATCAGAAGAATTAAGAGTAGCTTCTGTACCTGAAGCATTATTGTCCTGAGAACTCTGCCCCTCGTTGTCCATTCTCACTTTGCTAGGGCTGTATGCAGCCAGCTGACAGAGAGCTACGGCTGCTGTTTGCTTCTGTTCATCGCAGCTGTCAATTATTCTTAAATCTTGAGCTTCATTACGGTGAGCTATGAAAGAAGATTTATCACAGGCACCATTAATAGGGTTCTTGGGGTTACATGCATCTGCTCCAGAGGTTTCGTTTTCAGTGTCTGGAGAAGTAGCAGCACCATTATCGTGAGATGGACTGTGGAATGACGTTTTCAGGCTTACTGTGTTACAGGAATCTTTTACTGAGAGGTTGAGAGGCATGTCTTGCAATTCTAGAAAGTTCTGGCTTTCTGCTTTGGATGTGGTTTTGTATGCATGCTTGTGAATGGGTCCTGTGTTTGTGTCAGCCTTCTTTGAAAGATTAAGGGGAGCTATGCCTGTGTCTTCTTCCGTGTTGGACAGTGAGCCCTCATTGTTATGGCATTCATTCTGCGTATGTGAATCTTCATCAGTGACGTTAATGCTGAAAGAAATGAGGAGATAAGAGAATTCATTATCAGTTGCTCTTTTAAATTGAGACTGAGGAAGTAGGCAGGAAGGAAAGAAAAAAATCTGGCTAGACATCTGATGGTATTGTTGCTTCTCCTTTAATTCCCCCAAGTCCCTTTCACCATAACACATTGCTGTAATACAGCTAATTGCCTGAAATATGCAGACACGTGCATAGTAACGGCATAGGAAGTACGTTATATGCTTCAGGAGAATGAGTGGTCTGCTCCCTGTAGTAACTGTGAGTTGTACTGTGTTTTGCACAGTTGATATAGAACAAATTATCTCAATACTGTAAATGTAAATATATTCTAGGAGCATTTCATGAAATGCGTCTGTCTATCTTTGTGTGTCCCTAATAAATCTGACAGGAATCTGTGAA